TCAACCTGCCGTCTGTCTCTCACACACACTGCCTGGCAGGAGGCGGGCAGGCAGGCCTGCGGCAGTTTGTCGCAGAGCTCGCCGTCTACGGGCAAGCGCACTAGTCTTCTGACCCGAAGAGAACTGTGCCGACTTAATCACTGACTATCAGCATGACCTTTCACAATATTTGTAAATACCTACTTCGTTCTTCTCCAAGTTAACCAAAAGGAAGGAGCTATTTGTTTTTGTTTTCTTAGTGTGCCTTTATCGTATTTTTTAAGTTGAACCTCGCAGTACGACTATTACTTACTTTCCCCAACGAGGTCTCGGGTATTTTGGGCTACTTCTCGTGCTTTCGAAGTCGAATTTAGTAATTTCGGCCAAATGATTGATTGCCAGAAACGAATATCCAGGGCGTCTGTTGTCCTTCTGAATAATACCAGTGATAAGGGACTGGGCTAATTTAATGCTCTATTTGGTCACGTTTATCCATTCAACAGAAAAACCAAGTATTAGCGCAGGTAGATTTTCTAACTGTTGAATACTTTGGACCTCCTTATTTAGACGATAAACTATAGGAACTTTTAAACTGTAAGGGAACTTAATGCGAAAACCGGAGAGCTTGGTCTGGTGACGCGCTTACAGCCGTTTTCCTTATGACTGGGGTTTGATCACTTAAATGCTGACAACGGATAATTAAATCTGTTTTTTTGATTAAACGCTGTGTGCTTATTGTCCAATTTAGCAAACGCCTTTTCATGTAAAATTCGAGCTTCAGCCTGTTTGATAGCTTTGGCCGAGACGTTCCGCTATCGCTTCGACCATGACGTTTCGAAAAAAATGTTTGCGTTACCATGTCCACTCGCGTGGGCGTTTATTTTGACAAGACTTCGCCATTTGCCTGCTCGGTTTCAACATCGTGCAGGTTGTTTTTTTCGATTTTCTTGCACGTTTTAGACACATTTAAGTGATATTATTGACCTAATGGGAAAAACTCCACGCCTTCAGCGGAATTCGAACCAGTGCCAGAAGGTGCGAATTTTTAGTGCAGTCAGCACCCAGGTTTCCTTTGCTCGAATAAATTTGACTCTAACAAGGCGGACTAAGACTCGGGCTTTGGAAGGTTGCCAACTGCAACGGTTTTTTCTTAATGCGCTCTTGATATAGTTCGTATTCATATGAGATGTGAGTCGATCTTATGGAAGCCCGGTGCAGGTCTTGTTTCGCGCACTTAGACGGGACAGTTAGCTTTTTCGGCTACCGCGCTCAC